TTTCTTATTAAACTTCACTATTTTGCTATAGCAGGGTGTGCAGGATGTAATGAAAAGCTGATCTAGCTCAGGGACCCAGAGAAAAGCATGTTGTCTTTGAGGTATTTCAACCCATGTAACTCCCCACTGCATAGGGAACTTTTATAATTATTATTTTTACAGTGCTCCCTCCATCAAAAAGAAAAATGGAATTCTGGAACACTTGAATACAGCACCTCTCAGTTTTTCATGGTGGCTTGCAGGATTCTCCTGGTTTGAATAATGCTGAACCATGGGGCAAATTTCTTACATTAAATTGTCGTAAATAAGAATGCACTAGGCAAAGTTCATTTTTAGTAAAGCTCTAGTAAACTTTAATGTGCACAAGTCAGTGAATTTGGGTTCTGTTCACGGTTGACTCACAGCCAACCTTGCTAATAATTTCATAGTAAAATCAGCTTGGATCACTATTTCAGTGGTCTCTTAGCAAATACAAACCAGAATTTTTTGCATGTGATTAATTTGTTTGTTTTTCCTTAGATTTCTAGTGTAATTTATGGGTGTGGTAAATTATTTCCCTAAGCATGGAGGATTCTTAGGATGAGTTTTAGACAATACAGATACTAGCATGCATCAACTTCTGTGTCTATCTTTTTATAGCATTTTGCCTAATGTACAGTAAAAACAGATGCTCTTTTCCTTATACTAAGTGCTCTGAGATAACTTCTTAATTGCTTGAGTATGTTACAAACAGTAACTATTCAGAAAAGCAAAATGTGTTTACATGTTGTATTGTAGAACTGCATGAATGAAGAAACCAGTAAAAATTATTACAGCACAAAAATGTAGTTAAATTTCTATTATTTGTATCTCCACCCAGGGTGTAAATACGCACTGAGGCATCATTTTATAAATCTGTAGCCTCACTAAAACAATAATTAAATCCAGACTTAAAGCTCTAATCCAAGCATTTTTTTGAAAAAATCTCTGAGCCTTTTTTTTTTTTTTTTTTTTTTTTTTTTTTTCTGTTTTTAATTACACTAACCCATACAAATACTAGTAGTTTTATTGTGAAGGACAATGACTGGAGCAGTATTCTTTAAAGGCATCTTATAGAAGGATGTTCTACTGGCCATGTCAATTTTCCAGTTTTATTTCATACCATTCACCTTTCACTTTTACCTTTTACACTAAAAAGAAATCTAAGACATGGGACAAAAATAACTTACGGTTATATGAAAAATAACTCAAACAAATAATAAAATCATACAGAGTAGTAGAGAAAAATGTGTAACTAACTCTTTTAAAAAATTACTTTTTCATGGTATGCAACAGACATGTCTTTAGAGCAAACGTCACCCAGACACACGGAATGGCAAATGGAGTTTGTATCTGTATATGCAAGTATGTATAAATACACAGAATACTCTGTAAGGTTTAGGAAAATATACTCCCAGTTTCTTTCCTCATCAATGTGTTTTGTGAATAAAATATTACACAAAATGTTGCTTTTTGTACAGAATAAAGGGCATAAACCCCCCATGCAGCTATTTTTTAATTGTGGTCTTTTGCTTTATTTGTTCCTAGGATAGAATAAAAATAAAAATAAAAAAAAAACAAAATTTCATACAAACAACAAAAAAGTGCTGTTTAAAAAACTTCTGCTGTAAGTTTTCACAGGGAAACCAGCAAATAGACAGTTAAAATGTAATTTTTATACTTATTCATACCTCTTCAGAGAAAGCTGAAAATGAAGTATTATGTGACAGGTGGCCTTAGCACTGCAATACCTCAGCATCTCATTATGTGTGTGTATACATGTGTATATATATATAGAAAGGGAGATCCAAATACACACACACACTCACATACATTCACACACATACACATGTGCCTTGCAACTGTATTTTCAATTCCAGTGTAGACCCATTTCTCATGCAGATATAAATAGACCATTTTAATATGAAAACAAGAGACCTGTATAAAAGAATGACTGTAAAAAAAAGTTACGAGAATGTTTAATGTTAATAGTCTAAAATAACTTTATCTCTTAGATATGAATCCCTTTAGAAAGTTAACAGTCCACCAAGTAGAATAACAACACAAAAATCACTGAGGCACAAGTATTTGCTTATAAGTGAGTAACTGGCATATGCTATGTATTTTCACAAGCACCATTTTTCACTGTAACATGTGACAAACACAATTCCCTATTTAAATACCCAAAATACATCAGATAAAGTAGTTCTTTTTAGTATAATTACCCTCAGTGATATAAGCTGATCCCCCAAAGTCAGTCAGAATCCTCAGAGAGGAGTAAGAATAATGCAATGATGCAAGAGAATAATGCAATGATCACAAAGAATCCTCTTTGTCTTTAACACTGAAGTAAACAAAGGCATACCTTTTTACAGACTGGTAGCCCACTTTCATGTGCTTAATTTGACTGCACTCTAGCTCCTTCTTTGTAAGTTTAAGTCTCCTAGAAAGCTGCGTGTATACACAGACACACACACACGTGCGCGCACACACACCTATATATAAGAATGAACTAATGACTTCTAACAGTTTCCTTTTTTAAATGTAACTGATGAACACCCAAATTATGAATAATCTTTTTTAATTTTGCCTTACCACTTCCCCTTTGGTCAGGATCTTTCATGGTGTGTAAGCCCCCTCTCTGATAGTTTGTACATTCAGATACTAGAGAAAACATTTCAAAATATTTACAGGTCAAGGTGGCACAGATCTGAAGTCAGCAGCAATATTTCAGTTTTGTACACAGCAACTGACAAATTCCGGGCAACCATGTGCTTAAAAGAACCTTGAAGGATGTATATATAACACAAGTACGTATGTGCAGATACGTGTGCATGTGCACACGAGGCCTGATCCTGCTCTTACTGACTTCAGAGATAAAATACATAGTCTTGCACATTTGAAATCAAAGTCTTCAGCATGCCTAATTATTCCTGCT